GCGTTGGTGACGTTCCTGTGCTTCGTGTGCTCCCAGTCCCGCGGGGCGTACACGGCGCTGGCCGCCATGGAGATGGTCATCACGGCGCTGTTCTTCCTGCTGTACCTGCTGAAGCTCGACAAGAAGATGAGCTGGCTCTTCTGGCCTCTGGCCGTGAGTATTGATGGTTGGACTTGATGACTTGGAGGTCTCTTCCACCCTAAAGGACTCTATGATTCTGTGCCGGCCGGGATCGCCCGCTCGTGGCCGCGGCGCGCAGGGGCTGCCGCCGGTCCGTTCCGTTAACCGGTGTGGAACCGGTTCTTCCGGACGGAAGCGGCCCGGCTCTTCTGGCCGGTTCCTGAGGCTGCCGTACGCCGGTCAGCGCTCCCTACGGAGCCGAGCACCACTCGCCTGGCTCCATAATACTGTCCTCTTCACCTGCCCCCTCACAGATTAAACATACGCCTTCACTCGGTGAGCTTCCTCTTGCCGCCCTGCTCTGCGTTTATCTGCTGCTTTGGTCTATCGAGTGTAGCCAAACTGCATAAATTTGCCTGCCAAAACATAAGGTAAAATGAGGAAGTTTTATCACCAACTTTTAACATCAAACCGCTGGGTGTCACTATCGATCTGACACGGATACTAGTGCAAGTCTATTTCCAAAGCAAAACCAGCAATTTTTAGTGACTCGTACAACGCTGGGCTCTGCTCGGGCTCTCCCCCAGGCGTGTGTTTCAGAATAAGTATCTTGCTTCCACTGGCTGTTTCAGGATATCTTCAACTCGGTGATCGCAGCGTTGTTCCTCCTCATCGTGTGCCTGTTTGCAGTAATAATCAAGACCAACAAGGGCACGCTGGCTGGAGGAGTAAGTAGGAAAATTCTTGATGAATTTCAGTTCTTAGGGCAGACACGACCTGAACCCTTTGGTGTATTTCCGTTGTGGTAAGACCCTGAAAATAACTCATAGAAGAACATGTACAGAAGTCACAAGCAGAAGTGAATATGTGTTCAATGTATCTCACTAAAAAAATATAATCCTCAAATCACTAGAGATGCACAGATTTTACTAGGGTCAGGACAAGTACTACACTTAAGTGTACCTTACTGCAGATAAGTATTAACACTGAAAACTCTAAGAGTTTAACTAATTTGGGTAACCTGCATTTACTTCTATGGATTTAAATTGTAGGTGGGAGAATCCATAGTTCTTTTGGGACTGTAGTTGGGTTGCACTGGGTGAGAAGAAAGGCCTACGATCCTGCTAAAAAGAGTTGAAACTTTTTAATGAATGTGCTGGGACGTTCCTCCCAAGGCGTGTATTATTTTTTCTGACAGAAGATGAGAAATTATGGTGGTTGAAAAGGTGTTTTTCATACTATGATTGTAAGATTTGTCTGTACTTAGGATCAAAATGGTTTAACAGTTTAAGCAAAAGGTATTTTTAATTCAAATGAAAACTAATAAACATTAATAAACAATAAGGGGGAAAAACATATTTTGAAAGCATGGAAGTCTCCTGAGGTACAAGGTAAGCTGAAATGTGACAAGCAACCAGAAGCGGCCCAGAACTGGCCACGTGAGTTCTTCAGTCAGCGTGAGAGGCGGCGAGCGGCTGACCTGGCGCGGGGCCGGGGCCGTGTCCTCCCC